GAATTGCCCAAACCTGGAGGATGGATGCAAAAACCTGATTGGGATGGGGAGCAACTGGGAGCACTGGGATGGGGCTCTTGGCTCCCTGGCAGCTGAGGTTGGTTTTGGAACAGGACATTAACATTGAACTTTTTTGCTGGGAATCAGATCCAAGACAAGAAGCAATTTCCCCATGAGGTATGCAGCAGGTCACATTTCATGGAGGAGCAACAAATGGTGATGGTCCCCAGGGAGCAGCATTAGCCACAGGATTAGGGAATTTGCCCGTGGCTCAGCCTGCAGTGATGGCAAATTCCAGGCTCAATCCCTGGCAATAAAACATACCCCATGGGCTCCCCCAGCCTTACTTCATGCTTACAGGGGAAAATAAAAACCCTTTGCAAATCAAGGACTGCAAGCAGCAACACAAACCCACCCAGGCTTCAGTGGAGGGAGGTGGGAGCCCTCAGCACCCCCAGCCTCATGCTGGATCCCACCTCATCCCTCCTGGGAGCTGCCAACAGCCCGAGCTGCTCCCAGTGCCCAAAGCCCATCCCTGGCTGGAGGCTCATTAAGGAACCTGCTCGTGCCCAGAGTAATTAAGAGCAGAGACCTGGGGCTCTGGTCACACCATGATGTGGGAATTTGCTCCATTTTTTTTGTCCGGCTCAGCTCCAGCTGTGCCAGGATCATTCCAGCTGTGTCCATGGAAGCCCAAAGACACTGGGGGTGACCTGTGGGACAGGCAGGGTGACAGGGACAACAGGGACCATCCCCTCTCCATGCCCCAGTTCTGACAGTGCTGCAGCTCCCAGTGCCATCTCCTGCTGCCATCCCGCGGTTGTATCCCAGTTCTCCCAGTGCCTTCTCCTGCTGCCATCCCGCGGCCGCGTCCCACCACTGCACAGGCACACCGGGACACGGTGGGATCCCAGGGATCCTCCTGCATCCCTAAAAGTCACCCATCCCGACCGGGAAATCCCACGGGAGAGAGCTGCCCACCCCTCCAAACCACAGGAAAAGCCTGGGTTTATCAAAACTGTTTATTCCAAATGTTAAAAGATGACAGTTTTTTGTCCTTTCTGCCTTGAGTCATCAACCAAAATACTTTACATTTTCTTTTTTTATAAAATCCATCCCGTTCTGACCCATTGTACAACCCCAGGCCCACCCAAACCCCTCCTATTGCTGTATAACTTATAAAACTTCCTCTTTGCAGCCCCTTCCTCACTCCAGGTACCTGGAAGGGAGCACGGAATGAAAGGATGGGGCAAGCTGGGCACAGGGAGAGAGACCAGTTGGATCAGGGAGGTGATGGGGAGGAGGAATCCCATTGTTTCCAGTGACTAGATGCATAGCTGGAGGCTGTTCAGCCAGGCCCTAACAGCACATGGAGCTTCTTCCTCAGCAAGAGAAAGAGAGAAAATTAAAATAACAAAGTTCCCACCCGTGGGATGGAATTGGTTGGGTTTCTAAAGGCAATGGGAATGAGGGAGTGACCAGGACTGCAAGAAGCACCTCTGGAGGTGGCTGCTCCAGGCTGGAGGGAGCAGGGAACCTGCTCCCAGACTCATTGTCTGGGGGATTTCGGCTCAGGTCCATGAAGGGTAGGAGGCAGGAGCCTCCTTCCCCTTTTCCAGCAGTGATAGTGTGTGCCAGGCATAATCCAGCAGCATTCCCCCTCACCCAAGAGCATCAACCTGAACAGTCACAAGTGCTGGGTATGAGGATACAGCTCCCTGGGAATGTTCCTGCTGGACTGAGATCCCCCTGGAACAAACCCAGAGGGGTTTGGTGGGTGACAGGGGACAAATCCGAACTGGAGAGGGAAAAGATGTTTAGGTGAAGGGGATGGAGGACACCCAGATGTGGGGAACATGGGGAACCTCAGGGAGGCTGATGCCCAAACCTGACTGCAGTGAAGAACAATGCTGGGAAATGTTAAAGAACCAGACGAGAACTGGAAAACCCATCCAGGCACAGAACTGAGACCAGTTTAGGACCAATCCAACCCGGGAGCTGACAGAGCACCAGGCACCACGGGAAGACACACACAAGCTTGCAGGGAGCAAACAAGAGCAGCTCTGCCCCAGCCACGCAGGCACCGCCAGGCACGGCTCCGGGAGCCTTCCTGCCCTTCCCACCAGCACCAGGGCTGGAAATGAGCCCCTGAGCAGGGCAGGAGGTGTAAGGGTGAGTCCTGTGATCCTGCTGGGCTGGGCTGTGGCAGCACTTCATCAGCTCTGCTCCATGTCCCTGACCAGCAGCACCGTGTGCTGCCCACCCCCGGACACGGCCAGCACCCGGCGGTGCTCCAGCTGTTTGCCTGTCATCTCCACTGGGCTCCACACATCCTCCTCCTCCCCTGTGCCCAGCTGGTAGTTGGTGCCCATGCCCCAGGCAAATGCTCGTCCTGCAACGGAGGAAAAGCAAGTTTTGAGTTCCAAGTGGCTGTGGAATGGGGTGGGAAGGGGACACAGCCAAGGGGAGCCAGTACTCAAACAACCCACCACCCAAAGTCAAGGGACTCAGCACCCAAAGCCAAGGGGACACAGTATGCAAACCCAAGGGGACACAGCACCCAAAGCTAAGGGACTCAGCACCCAAAGCCAAGGGTACCCACCACCTAGGCAGTGCGTTACTATATGCCAGAAACACAGGCAGGAGGAAGAGGAACAGCGTTTCCAACTCAAATATATGTTCCACCCCCAGCCAAGGCAGTGGTTTACTCATTTTGGGGAGACAATCAAACCCACAGCCCCCTCCATACCCTCCTTCCTGCAGATGCTGTGCACAGGCAGGTGCAGCACCAGAGCATGAATGTCTGGCAGCAGTGGAGTTGAAGAAAGGACTGTCAGGCCAAAAACCCCTTCCTGGCCAACACTGCGTGACCAACCCACAAACATATCTGAGCAGCTGCTGCCCAGTTGCCCCCAGCTGTCAGCTCCAGTCCTGACCCAGCTGGCAGTGTGTGGTGAGGGTGTTTGGGATGGGACAGACTCAGGGTGGCTAGGATGGAGGGATGAGGGGTGGGAAGGTACAGAGGACAACATTCCCAAGCACTCACCATCACTGCTGACAGCGTAGCCAACTGATGCGCCACAGGCGACCGAGGCGATGCTGGGGAGCTCTGGGATCACTGTGGGTGTGCTCTTCTCCTCTGGCCCCGAGGCCCAGCCTGCCATACTCTGCCCTGCCCAGGCTGTAGGCTTTGCCTGGAACACAACACACACACAGGAGGAGTGACTCAAGGAGAACAGATGCCTGCAGCTGGACCCTCTCCCCAGGTCTGACTCCTGAAAGAGCATCACTCCCCCCTACCACATCCCAGATCCACCAGGAGGGGCAGGGTGGGACAGAAACCTTTGAGCTCCCCACAAATCACTAAGGTGGGTAGGTGCAAGAGCACAGTTCACAGGTGACTCCACATTTCTGTTACCCTCCCTGCCCTTTGCTGCAACCTCATGCCACCCTTGTCACCTTGAACACCGAGGGCTTGGAGACCTCCAGCACATCACATCACCCTCACCCCAACACCTCCCTGGCCAGGATGAGGGCCATGGGAGTCCCACCTGTCCTGTTCTGTGTGACTCCCAGCCCTGTCACACTGTCACTCACCCTCAGAGTCGACGCAGACAGTGTGGTGCTGCCCTCCAGAGAACCCGACCCAAGACTTGGTGGAGTTCTTGAAGCAGGTGAGGTTCTGGGGGGAGAAGCAGGGCTCGGTGCCCTGGGTCCCTGCAAGGTGGGACACACAAACCCAGGTGGATCAGCTCCATGGGCATGGACAGGCCAGTCCAGGCTGGCACTGAGCCACCCCCCTGTGTCTCAGTGACTAGAAACCAACACCACCCACCAGAGACCAACACAGCCCCCACCCAGCCCCGAAGTCAAACTTCTGCTCAAATCCAGCGGTCACAGGGACTGGGATCCAAGCCAGAGCTATGCAGGGTGACCCCACCCCAATTTCCAGCTCTGCTAGGTACTTGCTGCTCAGGATTTGGGGCTCCCAGCAGCATGCCCAGGGCAGCATGGAACTGGCAGGAGATCTGGAGGGACACAGGTGAAGCTCACCCAGCTGGTGGTAGTTGGAGAGGCCAAATCCATAGATGTGTCCCTCCTGTGTGACAGCAAAGGTGAAGTATGCCCCACAGAAGGCATCCTGGAAGCGCATTTTGCCCCTTTTCCCTTTGCCTCTGACAGGGACGAGCTGGGGGACCAGCAGCCGCTCTGAGGGCAGGAGAAGAGGTGTTACACAAGGAAGATTTACACCCTATCCTTGGCTCTTAGGGCAGGGCATTCAGGTCACTGATCACAGACTGAGAAGCAGGGACTGGGTCCCTTGGCTGCTCTGCAAAGCACAGAGCTGGGCCCAAAGGAGGCAGCTCCGAGCCCCAAAGCCACTCACGCAGCCCTTTCCTTCCTCCTCGGTTGGCAAAGAGCGCAGGAACTCTGCCCAGCTGGCCCTGCTCGCCACAGCCACATGTGAACAGGTCACCATCCACTGTCAGCATCACCAGGTGGTCATTCCCTGGGAGAGGAGTGAAGGACGAGTCAGGAAGAAGCCTTCAGCAAGCACCAGGGGCTGAGAAAAAAACCCAGCTGTCCCAGCTTTCTAGAATCCATCAGGGTTTACTGCACTGGATCCCTCAGTGCCACTTCTGTCACAACTTAAAACCCCGAGACCAACCTCTTCTAATCCCAGTTCCCCAAGTGAATCTTCAAAGCAGTTTCTCTGGGAATGTTTAGGGACACAGGTGTCCCCCAACCCCCTCTAGGCACTAGGACAAGTTCCCTGGCTGCTCTGCTCAGCCTCCCCAGGCCTTGCAGTGGGTGAGCATTGTGACGCCACTGTGTTGGGGTCAGGGCACTCTTGTAATGCATTTTACATCAGACTGGGTCAAATATTAACCCAATATGTTAATCTGTTGGGGCTAAAACATGTTTGGGCTAAAAGAGAAGAGCAAGCACACCCTTGTACCAGGCTTGGAGCAGCCAAGAGGGAGGAAAGGGACATGGACCTTCACCTTCCCTGAGGGTTGCGACAGCCTCGTGCACTGAGCCCTCACCTGAGACTATTTTAACCACAGGTGCATTGAGCTGGAGTAGCACAGGAGCGGAGCATGTCTTCATGGGTTCCAGCAAGCCAATCACCCCATTGTTATCCTGAGTGGAGAGACAGACACAAGGATAAGAGGCAGCAGCCACGAGCAGGGCTCCCTGTGTCACAAGAAATAAGCATACCCGGAAGGAGCCCCAGACAAAGACTCTGCCGTCCTCTGTCAGTGCAGCTGTGTGGCTGTCACCTGCTGACACCTGCACCACCTTCTCCTGCAGCTCCACTGGCCCTGGAGTGGTCTCAGACCCTTCTGCTGAGGTGTCACGTCCAAGGGCACCTTCATCGTTACAGCCGAAGGTGTAGATCTGTGGGTGGAGAGAGAACGGTCACGGTGGGAGGGGCAAGAGGCTGAGTGTGGGGTCAGGGATAGAGACCCACCAGGCTGACTTAGCACAGGATCATGGAATGGGTTGGGTTGGAAGGGACCTTAAAGACTATCTCATCCCACCCTCTGACATGGGCAGGGACACCTTCCACTACCTCAGGTTGCTCCAAACCCCATCCAACCTGGCCTGGAACACTCCCAGGGATGGAGCAGCCGCAGCTGCTGTTGGCAAATTATGCCAGTGCCTCACCACGCTCACAGGGAGGAATTCCTTCCCAATATCCCATTTATCCATGCCCTTTGTCAGTGTGAAGTCATTCCCTGTGTCCTGTCACTCCAGCCCCTTTAAGTACTGGAAGGTGCTCAAAGGTTTACCTGGAGCTTCACTTCTCCAGGCTGAACACCCAAGCTAAACCCACTCTGTCAGTGTGAAGCCATTCCTCCTCACCCTGTCACTCCATGCCTTTGTCCAAAGTCCCTCTCCATCTTTCTTCCAGGTTCCCTTCAATCACACCCTTTGACCCCCTCAAATTCTGTGGTCCACAGGAGACCACACTCACCTCAGAGCTGGAACAAGACATGGGCAGAGCAGCCTGTGATTGCAGAACACCTCCCAGAGCTCAGTGGGAAGCTCATCCTCCCTGCCCTGCACTCACCTTTCCCGACTGGCTGAGGCACACCGTGTGCATCCCTCCAGCTTCCACCTGCACCACCATCTCCGGCAGCGTGACCAGGGCTGGCTTCTTCCTCTCCATCACATCCTCCCCCAGGCCCAGCTGGCCAACATCTCCCTGTCCCAGCGTCAGCACCAGCCCAGGCTGTGTGCAGTGGGATGGGTGGGTCACTGCAGGGGGAGAAACAGCAGGTGGGGGCACAGCCTTCTTGTTAGAGCTCATCCCTGGGAACGGGCAGGGAGAACACACTGGGATTGTTCTTACCTTTAACCTTCTTCCTCCCAGGAGACCCATCCTCTGGCACTGGGGTTTTGGTGCTGCGTTTCCCTGGCATTGTGGGATCTAAATGACACAGAGAGAGTGTCAAGGGCACGCACGGGGCTGGGAGCTCCCAGCTGAGGGACTGGTGAATCAGTGAGGGATGACAATGATCCCTGCTCCTGCACTGGGAAAATGTAAGGGTTTCCCTGTGTGTTCTACCGACACTCTACATCCTCGTGCAAATGTGAAGACTTGTAGTCAGGGCAGGTGGGGAGAGAGGGAGGGGAAGGGGGAAGAAGGGGAGGGAGGGGAAATCGAGGGGAAAGAATGGGAGAGAAGGGAAGGAAGGGAAGGGGGAAAGGAGGAAGGGAAGGAGGGAAAGAAGGAAGAAAGGAAGTGAAGGAAATGGAAAGGAGGAAGGGAAGGAGGGAAAGAAGGAAGAAAGGAAGTGAAGGAAATGGAAAGGAGGAAGGGAAGGAGGGAAAGAAGGAAGAAAGGAAGTGAAGGA